TTGGCATCTGCTTCTCAACCTGGTCGACGAGACAAAAACTGAAGGTGGCATCCACTTTGCTATCCACTTTGCTATCGTCGTGGACAAGGGATAGAAAGAGAGAGATGAAGTCGGCGCAGCTCGGGTTCTTGCCATTAGGGTAGTACTCTAGTAACCAAGCATATCCTCCGACCACAAAAGCACCAGAGCTGATGCTCCTGCCGGTGGGCTTCTCTTCTTTGGTACGCGAGTAGCCATTGACCATAAGGAGATGGTAGCCGCTGTCCGTGCCGGCCTCGACGGCCGATGTTCTGCAATAGGACCCCACGTGGTCTTCGACGACGGATACACCGGTGAATGATGACATGACGAACCTACCTGCTAGCCCATAAGGAATTAAACCATCTACTAGGTCACCATTGACACTCTTAATTAAGTTAATTTCAGAGTCGGGGACGATGAGGTGCAGGACAAACCTGGTCACTCCGGCGGCCGCGCGTGTCGCTCCCCTTGCTGCGCGCCGACGTCGCTTCTAGTATAAAAACCCTTTACTAGCCGCCGGCTGGTCGTCGTTGATTTCTCGATCAAAAATCTAGCGTTTGTTTGTCACGGCCTATGGTCTGGCTATGTATATAAACATGGCCGAATCATGTCCTAGACGGACACCAACTAATTTGGACCTACTCCTACTCCGAATCTTATACTCCGTGTAACACCAGCTTGTACAACTCGTATGGCAAGGAACACACAAAGTCCTAATCGGACTCAGACCATACAGTAGGAAAGACTAGCCCAACCGGGTACGGCAAGCTGCCAAATTGCTAATTAAACTATACTCTTAATATTTTTATTAACAAAAATACCATCGATCAAAATTTCGTGCTATATTTGAATTTGTATTTTTTTTTTGGAACTGTAAGTAGCACTTTTTTGCGGAATTTTGCTTTCTATTTGTAACATAGGAAAAGGAGCTCATAAGTGCATTCAAGTAAGTTTTGTGTTCAGAGAAGATAAAGTATTTACCTTCTTCTTTCTCTTCATACTTTTGTTAAGTAGATTTTTGTATATCGAAGCTTTGTCCTCAGAGTTTTGCTTTCTATTCAAAACGGAAGTAAATGGCTCATAAGTGCATTCAAATGTAAGTTTTGTATTCAGATTTTTTTTCCCTTTACACACTTAAACAAGCTTTTTTTTAGATTTCCTGTCCTCTACACACATCGTTTTTCCTTCTACACATTACAGTGCATGCAAAGCTGCATATCAAAACTTTGCGTTCATGAAAAATTTACAAATTTCAACAATTTGACTAGATTATGTGCAAAAAAGCTGCATAACAAAACGGCATATTCAGTTCAGCTGTGTGTTCACATATATCGGAACTTTCAGGTTGAGACAAAGTCACTTCAATATAAGTGTGTGTTCACAAAGCATCACAACATTCAGGTTCGGAGGAAGCTTTGGCATCACATCGAGCAGGTACGACCATCGAGATGTTGTCGTTCACGACCAATGTCGTCGGTGTGCGCCTCCCCGCCAAGCGGAGCTTCGATGTGGTGCTCCTGGTGCTTGCTGTTGCAGGCTATCGTCGTGGCATCCACCACTCCAGCAGGTGCATGGCCATGGGGGATGGCGGCTCCACCGTCGGTTGTTGCGGCATGTCGTTGGTGGAGGAAGGCAAGGGCTCCCACCCAGCTAAGGCACGTCGTGATCAGCGCTGGATATGTGTCTCCGTCGCTCAGCAAATCGAAGACGAAGAAATCGAAGCTGAACCGCCAATGGCTTTTCAGATCGTGGGTAAAGAAGAGGGGGATTATCTGTAAAATTGCATTTAAGTGACTGGTTTAGGATCCCACCTCCCATAGTGTCATTCCTCGTCGATCCGAAGGCGAACACCGGAAGTTTTTTGATTTTCACTGAATGAGTATTCTCATAAGACGCCTTTCCAGAAACATCAGCATTCATTCGTTCTTCATAATTGGTAGCCACTAGAAAAAGGTTAATGACACGGCAGGCACAGAGCAACAATATACGAGACAATGCACAGAGAAATATACGAGGATAAAAAGCCTAGGTGTGATACTTGCACGTTGCTGCAATGCCTATCATTTTGACGCTTGACCATATCCTTGCACGTTTGATTTCTCCGATTCAACAAATAGGCGAACTATATACATGACGAGCAAATCAAAAGCGAGACACATTGACTACGACCTCTCTACGGTGTCCCGTATCTGCATAAGGGGATCAGAGTGTTACTTGTGTTGGTTTGAACCAAGCTTGACGACGAGCTCCTTCGAAACTAAGGGATAGGTCGAAACTACATGATCCCAACCATCAGTGGCCGTTACTGTTTGCAAGCACGAGGAAGACTGGACTTGGATAAAGTTCAAACATGCCTCCTTCAATCCCTGGCAGTGGTGTTGCTCGGCTAGAGCAAGAGTGGACATCACCGAGCTCACACCTATGTGATCAGACAATTGCATTTCACATATGCACTTGAGTCGTTGGAGATCGTACATGTCCGCCGCCACAAACAAGTCTTGAAGCCATTGCAGCCACATCTCATCCTCTATGGTTTCATCTTCTTGTCCTTCTTCTAGAACTTGAGACATTTCTTCCTCCTCCGTGAAGTCCTTCTCTATTTCAGGGCATGAGTCCGTGTAGATGAATCTAAGCAACGCTCTGAACACGTTTGCTCCCATATCTTTGATATGTATGACGCTAGACGTAGTAGTGCCCTCCTTCATGGGACCAAAGAGTTGTGCCATGAAGACTTTGGACCGGGCTGCAAGCACACAACGATGTGCTGTTAATGTCTCGCCACTAACCTCAAAAGTCACATCAGCACCCACCTTGGTCTGAAGGAGAATGTTAAAATGTTGGTCCATGTCAGACACGAGCACCTTGGTGCCGTGGCCACCGGGATCCTCGGTATTGGGATCCTTGCAAACCATTATGTCACACCGGATGGTGAAAGAATCACCCTTCAGATTCGCCGATCGTTCAAGGGCATCTCTTCTGAGAAACTTATTGATGCCCCAGAAAACATCACCATCACCGTTAATGAACCTGGAAGCTTTATTAGTTGCACGAATGTACATTGGCATATGCTTCTCAACCTGGTCAACGAGACAAAAGCTGATCCTAGCATTCACTTTGCCATCACCTTGGACATAGAGAGAGATGAAGTTGGCGCAGTTCGGGTTCTTGCCATTAGGGTAGTACTCTAGTAACCAAGGATGTCCTCCTACCACAAAAGCATCAGAGCTGATGCTCCTGCCGGTGGGGTTCTTTTCTTTTGTACGCGAGTAGCCATTGACCATAAGGAGATGGTAGCCGCTGTCCGTGCCGGCTTCGACGGCCGATGTCTTGCAGTAGCACCCCTCGTGGCCTTCGATGATGGATACACCGGTGAACGATGACATGATGAACCTACCTGCTAGCCCATAAGGAATCCATCTACTAGGTCACCACTGACACTCTTAATTGAGTTAATTTCAGAGTCGGGAACGATGAGGTGGAGGACAAACCTGGTTACTCCGGCGGCCGCCCGTGTCGCTCCCCTCGCTGCGCGCCGACGTCGCTTCTCCTATAAAAACCCTCGGAAACAAAGAGAGTTTACTAGCAGCCGGTGGCCTGGCTATGTATATAAACAAGGCCGAATCATGTGCTAGACGGACACCAACTAATTTGAACCTACTCCTACTCCGATTCTTATACTCCATGTAACACCAGCTTGTACAACTTGTATGGCAAGCAACACGCAAAGTCCTAACCGGACTCAGACCATACACTAGGAAAGACTTGCCCAACTGGCTAAGGCAAGCTGCAAATTGCTAATTAACTACGGAGTATAGTGTTAAGATTTTATTATTAACTAACAAAAATGCCATCGACAAATATAGACAAGCTTAACAAGCTGGCAAATGCTTCCTCTTGCACAAAGGCTCCAGGGTTCCTGCATTGTGCCTGAGAACCTCCTGTGCAGCCCTGCTTCAGCTGCAAGTTGTTCCACAAACACCACACGTTCAGTTACCGATTCTCGCCAAGCTGGCTAAAATTTCTGTCGTCTATTGGAAGGAAGCAAATTTCTTGCCTTCCTAATTCTGCATAACAGAATCATTCATAACCATCATGTTTTATTTCAGACCAAACGAGTTGCCCCCAGCTCAGTGTTGACCAAGTGGTCTATTGATTCATTAACCCCACCGAAACATGTAGCGCAATTGTTTGTCAAAAACGAGAAAGAACATGGAAAGGGCAGCAGCATAGAGAGAGAAAATGCAGGCACGATACTTTACCCAAACAGGACAAAGTCAAGAAACCAAATTCAACTTAAGAATGGGAACCAGATCACTATACCAGACACTTGACAATAGCATACTGGAAGAAATAGAACTGTGCTAAGAAACTACGCAAGTATCCCTGATTAAAAATACATCTTCACACAACAAAGACCAGGAGGAACTGGGCGCCACGAGAAATTCTACTTTGGGGTTAATCCCAAATCACATACAGTCACAGAGCAGCGAATATCTAACTATTAACCCAAGCAAAGATCCGAACTACCATTCCAACAACTACCTAAAAGTCCCACAACTAACTTCTTTTGGCAGAGCGCATATCTCCCCCCATCTGTGGTATTTTGTTGATGGCACTGATTTCTTAGCAATGATGCTAGATGGCCTGTCATTGCTGCACTTATTCTCTACTAGCATGAATTCATCACTCACATTAACAACTTAGGAAGTAATTAGCATATCACATTGCAGACAGTGGTGCCATTCACACTACTTAACGATTCGAAGTGAAAGTAACAGGGCAAGAAATAGCATAGATACTCCAAACACATCACTATGACGCTCAAGACAGCACAAAAGGCACCAGATGGTAGCAAAAGTGCTACCACAGGCATACAAATTGTTCAGTTCTACTAGTATTATGAAGTAAGAACTAGGACCATAGTCATAACGGATGGATACTCCAAAGGCGCACATGGAAAACTAGAAGTACGAACCACCTTATAGCACTATGAGGAATCGAGGTTCCTTATCCACACCACCTTCTTCTTGCATCTCACAGAACGGAAGTGGAAGCATGCTCTCCTGAATGTACTGGTTAGTGAAGTATACTGAATACGTTCCACGTTTCAATTTGTAACATCCCAACAACTTTTCGTCAATGTCACAGTGCAACAGGTAGTCATGACCCCACGATGGAGTCCAACACCAGATCAGCAGCTCACGCTTGTTAAGCAGCGCTATATTAGAAATATGTCTCAAACTAAAATCAAGCTGTGGTGATGTCTTCATCGCTACCAAGTTAATCCTGTAATTCAAGGCCCAGGCCTCAGCCTCATAGTCTTGCATCACCCAAATCTCTATGCTGCCATCATTGTTGCTGCATGAAGCAAGCCTGTTGCCCATCTCCAACAACGACACCCGGCAGCCCAACTGGTCAGGACTGCGCATCCACCGGAACGTCTCAGTAATTGTGTCAAACACCATAATGTCCACAGCAGTCTTCATGTAGATTCCTGTTAACCAGTGCAGGCTGCAGCGGTGGTTGACTTGTGAACTATAGCGGGAATCAAAAGCCCCTTGGCGCCTGCATTCCGGCAAACACGATGATACTGATGGCCGACTGATGATTCTCGGCTTGTCAGATCCTACCGTGAGAATGTAGCCACGTTGGCAGCCACGCAAGAACCAGAGCACCCGGTATTCCCCAGATGGATGGTGCCCGTAAAATCCGGCTATGTAGATGCGGGAACCCTCTCGTGATGACGATGGAACTCAAGGTTGTGGTAGGGGAGCACATTTGCGACTGGCTGGGTTGCAGATCCAGAAATCGGATCCGGCAGACAAGATAAGAAAGCCATCACAGGCGCCCAGGAGTTTATGGAACTTAGAGAGCTGGATGATTGGCCAGAGCTTTTGATCAGAGGTTATAGCCCCGTTATCACGAAAGACAACGAAGCTGAATCCGCTCTGCTCAGGGATATACTGTCTGATGACAGGCACTACCAGAATTTACCTATTTGCCGACGGCCCCATCTATGCCGACGGCGCCCGTCGGCATAGATGGACATATGCCGACGGCCATGGGCAGGCCGTAGGCGTAGAAAAGCCGTCGGCGTATGTTTATCTATGCCGACGGGGCCGTCGGCACAGATGAGGCCGTCGGGACCATTCGAGATACGCCTACGGGGCCCGTCGGCATAGCCTAGGCCGTCGGCATATCCCAGGCCCACCTACCCAGTCAGCGCTGACCGTTTGACGGTATTGAACATACGCCGACGGGAGGTAACGGCGGCCGTCGGCATATCTTGCTGACATCACCGATCCGCGTCGTCGACACGTCATCGATCCGAGCGAGGGGGGGCGTTGTGTGGCAGACATATGCCTACGGCATAGCCGTCGGCATAGGCCTGGCCCATGCCCCTCTACCACGTCATCGATCCGTGTGCTATGGCACGTCATCGATCCGTGGGACTGTACCTCCATGTGCGCAGCTATGCCGACGGCCTTGCCGTCGGCATACAGTGATTTTATTTTTATTTTTTTATTTATACTTTATATTATTTTTTGTTTTTCCATAAGATAATTATCCCTTATCTAAAAATACATACCCCGATGGTATATCGATTGCCCCCCGTTACGAACATCATCGCTGTCGCCGTGTCACGGAGGGGGAAACGGTCGACACGGAGGAAATCTGGTTAGTGGGGGGATTCGGGGTGTAGCTATGTCACCGAAACATCGCACGGGTCCCGATGCATATGTGAAAGTGTTCAGGCATGCATAGACGCCCGTCTTGGGGCTCCGCGGTGTGGCCCCCCCTCCACGCAAGGCAGTGCCGCCGTCACTTGGAGGGGGCCAAATCCTGGAGACGTGTGCTGCCTCTTCGGACATGCCACCACACCACCCCGCATGTATGAGGTCCCGGTGCGATGCTCCGGTGACATTGCTACCCCCACAGGGTCCCCGTCCCGCCTAACCCTGTAGCGTTTGACCACGAGATCTAGCCCTTTGACTTTGCACGGACGGGCTTTGACCAGTGGGCCTCTCCACCCGGTTGTGTTAGGTCAGCCATAGAAACACTTTGGAGCAACATCCGGGCCAGACCCATAGCAAGATCCCCTCCG